TCCAGAACGAAGGTTGCATAATGAAGTGGACCCGGGAGGGGGAGGGATTGTAAAACAATGAAAGAATTTTTCCTTTACTTTTCAAAGAGAAGAGTGTACTGGGGGAGTGGGAGATAGGGAAAAAGTGCAAAAGTGAATAAATGGAAATCAAAAGTCTCTGTAAATTTTCATTTAAATTAATAATAATTAAAAAGGAAAAAATCTATATGCAGAACAGATCATCTGGAAGGGTGGGCTCTATGAGAAGGAATGTGGCATCAGGACTAGAGGAAGACTCATCAACAACCTGTGTAATGCAGATAGCACACACTTGCTTGTTGAAACTGAGGACTGGAGACATTTGCCTTCAATATGGATTAAATTTCAACAACAAGAAAACAAAAATTCTCACCGCTGGGCCAGCTGGCAGCGTCATGATAGATGGAGAAGAGATTGAGATAGTTAACAGCTTCAGTTTGCTTGGCTCTACAATCAGCACTTTTGACACCAGCAACAAAGAAATCAATAGACAAATTACAGTGGGAAAATCTGCTGTCAGGGACCTCTCCAGAGTAATGAAGGCACACATGATCCAGGCCATGGTCTTTGCAATTATTTACTATACACCAGGTAGCTGGACAATGACTAAGGAAGATAGAAGAATTGATTGAGTTGTGGTGCTAGAGAAGAGTATTGAATATATACAATGGACTGCTAAGAGAACAAACAGATTTGTTCTGGAATGGGTGAATCCAGGCTTCTCCTTGGAGGCAAGGATTTTGAAGCTGCATTTCACATATTTTAGGCATTTGGCCAGGAGGGACCAGCCCTTGGAGACGGGCATCATGCTTAAAAGAATGGAGAGACAGCGCAAGAGAGGAAGACCCTGAAAGAGATGGATTAATTTAGTTCCTGGGGTTATAGGAATAGGTGTGTCAAAGACAATGAAATTGGCTCAAGATAAAGCAAGGTTCAGAGCTATTGTACATAGGGCTGCTATGAGTCCAAGCAAATCAATAGCACATAACAGCAATGCAACAAAGTTCCATTGTAGGAGCATTCCACAATATGTTCTTCCCTTTACCTAGTGGTGGGCATTTGCTTTAGACAATGGAAGATATTTTCTGAAGGGACTTGGCAGATGAGAAGGGTTATCCTGGTTGAGGGTGGAGCTGGGAAGTAAGTGGGTCAAGGCTCTGGGCTAAGGGT